GTCACTGCAATGCACAAGTTGGACCTTGGTGGAGGGAGTTGAGGGAAGTGTAGTCACTCAGAGAAGGCTGAAACTACTGCCCAACATCAGGAAGTCCACCATTCTCTAATCTGCTCCACCATCAGCCTACCACCAGAGGAATGTGGAACTGTGGCTCACCCTTGGGGATAAAAGCTCCAGGACATGTGAGGGGATCACAGCTCCAGTTTATGGGAGGGGACCACATCTCCAGGTTCATAGGAGGGGAACACAACTCCAGCTCACAAGAGGGGAACGACAACTCTAGCTCACAGGGGTGGGTACCATAGCTCCAGGTTCATGGGAGGAGACCACAGCTCCAGGTTTATAAAAGGAGACTAGAGCTCCAGGCTCATGGGGCACAACCAGAGCTCCAGCTTATGGGAGGGGACCAGAGCTCCAGGCATACAGGAAGGGATCACAACTTCAGGTCCATGAGAGGTGACCACAAGCTTTAGGCTCACAGGAAGGGTCATAATTTCAATTACGCTGGTTCCTACTACTTTCCTGTCTCTATTACTTTGTCCATATGTTTATACTTGTATTTAGAAAAAGCATTTTGATGTTTGTGCAGCAAACAGAGGCAACAGTTACTTGCTGGATTGCATTTCTCACTAGAGGAACATTAACATTGGAGAAAACCACTTTTTGCTTTTACTCAAGGAGAGGCGGAACAAGTGTTTTCTTTTTCGCAGTCATGGATCTGGTTGGCTTCTTTGGTTTCTAGTGTTTTCACATTTCCCTCCAGGGTTGCACTGAGAGTCACTGAGCCACTGATGCCACGTTACTCTTCCACTGTCGTGGCTCTCCAGTTATTTTCTTTTTCACTTGTCAAGTCCTGAGTTCAGAATTTTGAGATCAATAGAAAAGCACCTAAGATCAGGAAAATGTTCGTCCTATGTGAAAAGGTTCCACACACAGTCCAGAACACGCATTCACCCTCTTGGGAGCTGGTGTGCTGTGGGACCTGAGGCACACCTCATCTGCCGTCTTGATTGCTATCAGTTGTCATCTTAGAGCATCTTAAGAATCCTGTTCATTTGCTTCTTCTCAAGATCACTTCTCCTTCTTTTGCCCCTAGAACTGAAATGTCCAGTCCTGGTCCATCCCAGTTGATCCAAGATGAACCCTTTGTGCGTGTGTATGTGAGTATGCTTGCCTGTGTGTGTGTGTGTGTGTGTGTGTGTATGTGTGTGCACACATGCGTGCACAGGCGCACATGTGTTTGTGTGCATGTGGAGGTCAGAGGTCAACCTCAACTGTCATTCCTCAGAATCCATCCACATCGCTTTTTGAAACTGGCCTGGAGCTTGTCTAAGTGGGCCAGGCTGACTTGTCAGAAAGCCTCAGGCATCTGCCCATCTCTGTCACTCCAGGAATGTAATTACGATCACATAGTACCATGCCTGTGCCTTTGCCCATGTTGGCGAGGAGCACTTATAGTCTGTTAGTGGGAATGTAAACTGATACATCCACTGTGAAAATCAGTATGACTGTTCCTCAGAAAAATCAAAAATAGAATTACCATATGACCCAGCCATTCTCTCCTGGGTATCTACCTACAGGAAACTAAGTCAGCACAACACAGAAATACTTGCACACACATTCTTGTTGCTGCACTAGTCACAACACACAGGGAATGGAACCAGGCTAGATGTCTACCAACAAACAAATGGACAAAGATGATGTTGTACATTTATGTAATGGAATTTTATTCAGTTTTAAGGAAGAATAAAATTATGACATTGGCAGGAAAATGAACAGAATTAGAGATCATTATGTTAAGTTAAATGAGCCAGACCCAGAAAGGTAAATAGAACCTGTTTTCGTATCTGTGGAATACAGATTTAAATGTATCTGTGTACACACACACATATGACATGAAAGTAGAAAGGGGATTATTAGAGGAAGAAGCTTGAAGGCAGGGGTCAGGAGGCAGCAAGAGACACAGAGGGATGCAGAGGAGGACAGAGGGTCAGAAGAAGAACAAAGTATAATGATACACGTGTACAATAACACCACAGTGGAGCTGTGATTTCCTTGAGGGCAGAAGCAGGTTTTGTTCCTTTGGGTCTTCCACCAAGCCTAGCACAGAGCAGAGCACAGGAGGAACACAACCCTGCCCTGAAGAGCCTCAATTACAATCTGTACAGAAGGCATCTGTCATACGCAGGCTAGATCAAGGTGTTCCCAAGGAAAAGGAGCATGTAAGGGGCGATAGGTAGTGTTCCTTTAGGACTGATTATTCTAAGACCCAAACTCACCAACAAACTAAGGAAGTCTTAGTAGGATAGGCAATGGGTGAGACAGTGATGAGAGAGAGGAAAATCTGGACCCAAGGCTCTGCGAAGCACCCTCCTAGCTCTGCTCCTCTAGTGGAGTTTGTCCCTTTAGGGGATTTCTCTTTGTAGCAAATGACAATTAGTTCTATAGATCTTAGTTTTAAGAAGTTCTTCTGTTAATGATACTTGGCCTCAGATATGCAGACGTCAAAAGTGTCATCATATGGTGACAATTTAAACAAACAAAACATTAGCTTAGAAGGGATGCAAAATCAGTTGGAGGACTATGAGGGCTACTTATGTTCATAATATAGAACACAAATATTTTTAGATTCCTGATCTATTTTGTTCATCAAAGAATTGGCCTATATCATTGATCTGTACATTTAGATTTTATGATGACAGGCACATTATAATAACTAGAAATAGAAATTCCATCTTCAGTGGTAATGTAGTACCAGGATCTGTGGAGAGGTCTTGCGGTGCTGTTAATTAGCTGAATGTGAAGCACACGGTCTCAAAGCAATTAAGGACGTTAATTGAATATTTGGTTGCAGATTAGAGCAGCTCATATGTGTGGACAGGGTACCTAGGCTTGCTTACAGGAGTTACATTATACAAATGAGCTTGAAATCCATAAAAAGCAAATATGGGCCAACACATGCTTGTTTAATGAGCAACTGGATTTTTAAACAGCAACGAGTTGTTGGCTATATGTAACAGTACTAGCTGCAAAATTCAGTATGAAAAATTCAATCCTTTAGCCTATGTCTCGTAAATAAGGCACACCATTTACTCAAGGAAAACTCAGCTGTTTGCCTTGGCAAGTGTGCTGTCCTTCAGTTTGGTAAACACCTCTATGTCCATGTACTTTAAATGCAATCGGTAGCCACACAATGGCCACAGTGCCACTTCTATGCACATTTGGGGATGGAGGGAAAGAATATTATCCATGAGCTCAGAGTGTCTAAGTGATTTTATTTTTGAGGTCCTGTATTGCCTTTGCACGGGCTTCATTAACTGTGACATTTGATTAATGTTAACAAACATATAAGAAATTCAAAGCAAACCCAACACTGAGGAAAAGTTTTTAAGTCAAGCAAAAGAAATACAATATTCCTTTTGGAAGACCTTCAGTGGAAAATGGTGGATACTTTTGGTTAGTGCTTATTGACTCTAACAGCTGGGGCTTTAGGGTGGGCTGTCGGACCTGTCTCAGGCTTCTTAAGGTACAAAGAATGCTGATGATAAATAAACTCCAGAAGTCAGGAAATGAAAAGTGAATTTAGTGTCTGACCATTTCGGTTCTCTGAATGGTGTAACCAGCTTTGTAGACTCTGTGCTGGGGCGGGGAAAGAAATTATTTAAGTGCTTGAAGTTCATAGAGTCTCTTTAACACTCAAATTGGCCAATAGGTTTTTTTTTTCCCCCTTTTTGCTTAATTTTTCAGAAAGTAGTAAAGTTGATTGACTTCTGTTTTTTTTTTTTTTTTTTTTTTCCTCCTTAGCTCTGATCCACTTTCTGGAGACCTTTGTAATAGATTGTGAAGGGATGACCTTTTTTAAAGTGAAGGTCCCAGCACGCAGCGAAGTACAGGAATTCAATTATCTACAAGTTCCCAAACTAATCATCTCCATCCTCATTTGAGGAATTAAGCCTTCATAAGGGTTTATCCTCTAGGAAACACAGACCATTTATCTACAAACTGACAATTTGGCATGTGTGCAGGGCGTAGAAAGATAAATTGTACTCACGGTCTGAATCTGAATTTATTATCACATGTATCCTCCAAAATGTGGAGTACAGGAGCTTACGGAAGAGGGCTGGAACACGGGGCTGAAGTCATTAACCCTGGGTTAGGAAACATGTTTCAGAGGTAACAACGTGACCTCTTCGGATTGGGAGAGTTCCTGTTTGTTGCGTAATGTGTGCATTTCATTATTTGCAGGATTTCTCTAGGCGATCAGAGCTGTGTACACTGCAAGGTGAGCCTGTAGCAGCGCCCTAGAGTTAGAAATAATCCTTGGTAAACATTTCCCAAAATTCTCTTCCCCCACCCCGGAAATGCTTTAAGGAGCTGCAAGTCACTTGGGAATTTTTCTATATTCGTTTTCAATGTGCTCCCAGGACCAACGAAAACCAGCATGCACAGGTTGCTGCTGCTGGTGGTGATGTTGATGGGCTCCTACAATGCCAGCACTTGGCGGGTGGCAAAGATGGCAGAATATGGAGTTCAGGGTCATCCTTTCATCAAGTTTGAGGCCAGCCTGAGACCGTGTCTCAAGAAACCAAACCAAACAAAACCAAAAAAGTAAACACTGAGTAATAAAATCTTGCCACTGGAAATCTGTTTTGTTCAGGTTCTTCCAGTCTCCCCAAAGCAAGGCAGCTCATTCTCTCTCTTTTCAGAATTTTCTGGAGTGGGTTGAAAATGAGTAAGGGGAGAGTTCTCGCCAGGCCTGGCCACGGTCCCACAGCTGGCCTTGGGGACACGCTCCTGGAAGGGAGGGAGGCGCACACCGCGGGCGGCCGGAGGACGGGCGACCTTGCGCCGGGCGCTGGGCTCACAGGGTCCGGAGCCCAAGCCCCGCTGGAGTTAGCGCGGTCCGGGCAGCGAGCGCAGGGGGCGGGTCCTCTCGCCAGACACGCCCCGGCCCGACTTAAAACCGCCCGGCTGCGCCCGGACCTCCGCCTCTCGCGCTGCGGGGACTGCCACCGGCTCGGCGCCTCCCGCTCGTCTGGCTGCACCCACGCCGCGGCCGCCGCTGAGCGCAGAGCGCGGCCTGCCCATGGCTGACCTGAGTTTTATCGAGGACACCGTCGCCTTCCCGGAGAAGGAGGAGGACGAGGAGGAGGAGGAGGAGGGCGTGGAGTGGGGCTACGAGGAAGGTAGGCTCGCGGGTGTCCCCTTCCCCACCCGAGGCTCTGAGCCTTCCCCACTGAACCACTCCTTCCCCACCGCCTGCGTTCTCCGGCCGCCTGAGTTCGGGAGCGGGTGGCACTGGCGCGGCTGGCCTTCCTGAGGGACGCGGTTCGCACCTGCTGCGTGGCGGTGCCTTAGAGTCGCTGGCCGGGCGCTTCTTGCACTTTAAGACGGTGATACTGTTGCCTGCTTTCAAGTTTCGTGAAGGACACATGACCACTCTTTATCAGAGTCCTAAATGTCAAACTGGATCAGTGCGCCCGGAGACATTTAAAAAGAGAAGTTTCCTAAATTTAACCCTGAAGACTTAGGGCTCCTTAGAGTCAACAATTAGTGTGGATGTTTACTATATATACTGACACAAACGCGGAATATAACATTATAATGTAAATTGTAAAGGACTTGTAGATGTATGTTTAGAATATTGTTTGCATTTCTAAGGAGGTGCTCATTAACACCAGAATTAGGGCTTTTCCTCTGCCTTTGAGGAGGTTGATTTACAACTATTTCCTAAGTAAAGCACAGTCATTTAGTTTTCCTTTTTCTTTTGAAATTTTTTTTTTTTTTTTTTTTTTTTTTTTTTTTCCTAATCAGTTAAAGATGACATAAGTTTCCTGGAGCCTTAAATCACTATGTCTGTGTGCCCAAACATAAACACACAGACATGTACTTAGTTCAGGATTTTGTGTGTGGGATTTGACAACAGATCACTCACATAATGAATGCAAAACCCCAACACATTTCTCATATTTTGTCTGTGCAGAGATGGTCACCATAGCTGTCATGTCAGGGACCATGAAAGTTTTTCTGTGAGTTTTTCATGTTAGATTTTGGTGTCATTTACTTTTTAAAACATGCTTATTATTTTTTTCTCATTTCATCCTCAGGTGTTGAGTGGGGCTTGGTGTTTCCTGATGCTAATGGGGAGTACCAGTCTCCTATTAACCTAAACTCCAGGGAAGCCAAATATGATCCCTCACTGCTGGATGTCCGCCTCTCTCCAAATTATGTGGTTTGTCGGGACTGTGAGGTCACCAACGACGGACACACCATTCAAGTTATCCTCAAGTCCAAATCAGGTACTGTGCTAAGCATGTCTACTCTTGTGAGCAAGTTCGTGAACTCTGACTTAACCTATATGATTTTAAATGTAGCACCGACATAGTTTCTTTTTTCATAGTTCTATGTAAGATGCATTTTCTGGGAATTATTTTCTGAAACGGTCCTGAAGGGATTGGAGGATGAAAGTGTGCTGTGTCTGCTGGCTGCTTGTAAGATGTAAACCTTTAGGTTTATCATTAGATGAGTAAGGAAGGTATGGATTCCCTCCTTTTACTCATCATGTTGTAGAGAGCTGATTTGAGTTCATGAGATAGTCAGATTGCAGCTCTGACAGGAGCTGTCTCAGTTGCTGGACTCTGTGAAACATGAGGAAAGGCGTGTGTGGGCATACGGCTTTGCGTTTTTCTGATTTACGTTTTTTCTCTAAACTACTGATTAGCTGAACTCATTTTGTTATAGTTCTGTTTTACTACTTTGTGAAACCGAAGATGAGGGAGGATCTTGACATTAATGTCATCTGTATTCAAGATAAACTTTTCAAATTAAATTTCCCTACAATACTAATGATGAGATCATTTTAAGAATGACAAAAAAAAAAAAAAAAAATCCTGTAAATGGAGAGGTCTAACTGGCAATCCGAGGTCTCGTTGTTATTTACTTTTCATTTACTCACTCTTTCCCCTTGAACCTATTTGAGATGAATCTGAAATGTGTTGTGGAAAACCACAATTTCCAGGGAAATTGGTTTTCAGCTTAAATGTAGGGGAGATGAAAGCAGATTAAAAGAGCATTAATATTTTTCTCTGTATAGGTAATACTATCTTTTTTCTTCTTGAAAAAATATAAAATTAGAGTATGTTGAAGTATTAGGATGTGCTTTTTAAGCAGACTATGCTTACAGTAATTCCACATTGATAAATAGAACATTTCAAACCATAAAACCTTTAGGTTTATCATTAGATGAGTAAGGAAGGTATGGATTCCCTCCTTTTACTCATTGTGTTGTAGAGAGCTGATTTAAATCCATGAGATGGATTGTTTATTCTTTGCTGCTGTTCAGAGTTTAATCAAGATGGGGGATTTCCCCTTAAAGAGATTTTATATGAAGTTAGTCAGAGAGACACATGAGACAGATATGAACTTAAATCAGAACTTTTTGGGGTGATGTTTATCCTTGATTATATAATGTACAGTATATATTATTATATGTATCATATATTATTGTTGCCCTTTTCCCTCTTCTGCCTTCCACCCCGACCAGTGGGAAGAGCTGCCTATAGTTATGTCCAGACCTGATTTGGGCACATATGACCCAGAGACTTTATTCTCCACTCCCTTGGAGACCGTCCTCCCTCTATTGACTTGTTGTCTTTCTGTCACTCCAGTCATTTTTCTCTTACCATTTCTTCTCTCTGGGTATTTTGACAAACTTTTAAAAAGTATCTGAAAAACAGTGTCTTGGTTAATTATTCTTTCTAGGATATTTCAGCTTCTCAAAGGAATTTTCCTTAAGTTGTGAACACAATTATTCATTTATTTGACCAAGTTTTATTTTTATCAAAATAGAATGTAGACATAATTGAATAGTTGAATATTTGTGTATTTCTCTCTGCCACTAGCCACAGCCTGTCTTCACCGACAGCTTCTGTTTTTCTCTAGTGACAACCGCACTGAACCCTTTTAACTGTTCCTTTTGTGGTTACCTCCATGTATCTTAATAACATGCTTAGGCTGCTTGCTCTGATATTTGAGAGGGCTTTGAATTCTGCTGTGGAAGGTGTGGCTTGACCTCTTCCTCCTCTCTCTTATCCTGGTGTTGCCTCACATACTTAAGGTACATTGTTATTAAAGGGAATATTCAATGTTGCATTAGGACTATGTAACTATTATTTCTCCCTGAGACTATGTTCTGTTTCCTTTATGGAACAATATTTTTCTTTGGAGTTACTGTATTTTTTATTTTTAAAGTGATCTGACACGGATTCAGTTTGAGCTTTGACAGATCTTGTCTCAGGACATCCAGAGGCATTGAGTCTTCTTCCTTCCCTCCCTCATTCCTCTGCCTCTTGGATCTGTTCTTGGGACTGCCACTGAGAAACTAAAATGTGCACATTTTCCAGTTTTGTTCTTGTATTTTTATTTTTTTTAAATTGACATTGATTTTATGAATTTTCTTTTTAAAATTCACCATTTAGTAGTTCATGAATGTGTGACCCTTCTTCACTCTTTTCAGTATTTCTTCTTTCCTGTTACCTTCTTTTTGGATTTTTGTTGATTCGAGGTTCCTTCTATCAGTGTAAGTTCTACTCTTTTTAAAAAAAATTTTGTATATTATTTTTATTTTATGTGTATGAGTATATTGCCTGCATGTATGTGAGTGCACCTGTGTCAGAAGAGGGCTTCGATTCCCCTGGAACTGGAGTTAAGAACAGTTTGTAGCCGCCATGTGGGTGCTGGGAAGCAAACCCGGGTCCTCTGTAAGAGCAGTCAGTGCTCTTAACCTCTGAGCCATCTCTCCAGCTTCAAGTTCCACTCTTTTAAAAAATATTTTATTTATTAATTTTTGTGAATGAGTGTGTTGCCTACATGTACCTAAGTACACCTGTGTTGTGCAGTGCCTGAGGAGGTCAGAAGAGGGTGTCACTAGTTAACCACCATGGGGGAGGGGCTGGGAATTGAATCCTGGTCCTCTGTAAGAGCAGCCAGTGCTCTTATTCTCTGAGCCATCTCTTCAGCGTTAAGTTCCACTCTTTAACCTTGGAAGCTCCTGTCCAATGTTAAGTAATCTAACTCTTTGCTGATGCTTATGTATGGGTCTAAAATGTGGTCTCCATTGAAATCTACCCGACGACTTTATAGACATACACAGGCACCAAGGATCCAAGTGCAACCGATTATGACCAGGAATAACTGTATTAACTCAACTGTGAACCTAGAAACTTAAAGCCACTTGTGAAAGAGATGTACTCTTGCTCTGGAGTGTGTTACTGAATGTGTTAAAGCTGTAATGAAATGCTTCTTCTAATCACGTAGTTATTAAAAATTGAAAAAAGAAATAATGATAAAAAATGTGGTCTCGAAGCTCTGTGCACAGAGGTCTTGTCACACAGGCAGGGGTCGAGGTCTACTGGGCTTTCAGTGGTGGTGGGATCAGGCAATGACCTAGCTGTACTGGAGAGGTGGCTTTGGGGCTGGCTCATATCAGATTGGCTTCATTCCGACTGTTGGCCACAAACTGTAGTGTCATCATTTGATGTATCTCCACTTTTTGTACCTTCTGCTGGGGTCTGGGTAAGCTGCTTACATGGAGAATGGGATGCAGAGGATGAGCTGCCCCTTTTAGAGCCCTGTCTTTCCCGTTGTAGTTTCCCATTCTGTGCCTCCATCTACACCCACAATATCTGCTGCCTCTGAGTTGAGTCTGTCCTAATGTCTTATTCTATTTGGTTGCTTTGACAAAATTCCCTAGACTATGTAATTTATAAGTAGTAGGAGTTTGTATCTCACAATCTGTAATCTGGGAAGTCCCAGAGCAGGATGCCTGCAGATCTAGCATTTGATGATGAGGACATACTTTACTCTGTAGGTGGTGCCTTGTTGCGGTGTCATCAAGTAGCAGAATGGTAAAGGGGAACACTGATCCCATTCAGGTGGGCAGCACCCTCCTCACCAGCATCTCTGAGAGCCCATCTTTAAGGCTGCTGCTCTTGGGACCCGACTTCAGCAGCAGAGTGTGCTGCAGTTAGCGTCACCTGCCTCCAGCTGCCTTCCTTTTCCAGTGGTTTCTGCTTTGCTAACTACAGTTTCAGATCACCCAGCAGCTCCCTCAGTTCTTTGATATTTATTTGCTGCCTTTAATTTTTACTCTTGACCATTCCTTTTCTGTTCTGTGAGGACTGAGGAGGGAGGGAAGATAAATGGTACAGTGTAGTCTTCCTTGTCAGACTGGAGGTGCTCCCTGCAAACAGCAAGCTATCTTTCTAGTTTTACTTATTTATTGATTGATTGATTGACTGACTTTTTTTGAGACAGGACCTCACTAAGTTATCTGTGCTGGCTTGAAAATCACTGTGTAGCCCAGGGCTGGCTTTGAATCCATAGCGTTCCTCCTGCTTGTACTTCCCAAGTGCTGGAATTACAGGTGTGAGTGACCACGTACTGCTCACATGCTGCCTTCTAAATTTTTAAAAAATTATTTATTATTATCTCTTGTATATATGTGTGTGCATGGTATGTGTGCATGGTATGTGTGTATGGTGTGTGTGTGTGGGGGCACATGCATGGAGAAGTCAGAGGATAACGTTATGGATCCAGGTCTCTTCTTCCACCTTTCCGTGGGGTCTGGGGATTGAACTCAGGTTGTCACACTTCCTACCAAGCCCTTTTACCTACTGAGCCATCTTGCAGACCCCCTGTTGTCTTTCTAATTAAAAAAGTAAACAAATCATAGGGCTAGCATAGCCCTTTTTTTAGGACTGAAAATTGACTGTTGTGATTTCAGTTTCCCCCGAGGGTGCCAGTGGCTGCCAGCAGCCATGGATACTTAGTTTGGTTTCCTTGGTATTGTTCTATTTCTTTCATTTTTCTGTCTCTATTTTAAAAAATCCTGTGGAATTACCATGAAGAGCTACAGCATTCTGTAGTATAATTTCAGTGTTTGTGTTTAACAAACTAAAGCTTTAACGAAATCCTAATGATGCAGTTCCTACATACAGTCCCATCTGGAAACTCTGCTTAATGTGAACTGGAGGCATTTCATGAGCCCTGGCTGCCATCTCTTTCCAGGCAGCTCTGCTGAGACTCTGTAGGCAATGCCACCCATGATCTTCACACTCTGCTCACCCCAGGGGGAGCTTTGAAAGCCTAACCCTACTCCAATCCTTCTGAGTTTGACATGGGCTGTTTGGAAAGTGTCTCGTTGGTCTCAGACACAGTTGCCTGATGGTTCTTTCCACTTTTGACTACCTTTTCTCTGTCAGTTCTTCACACCCCATCATCCTTAGCTTATGGGGCTCTC